AAACAGCGGTGGGAAACGCGATGACGACATATCTTTCCCAACTGCGCTTCACTTGCAAATGTGAACAAACCACCTTGACCCCAAATTTTGGATGAACACGAAGCTCACACACCTCGTGTGAACGTCACCCTCTCAGCTCGCTGCGGAGGTACTTTGCTCCGACCTGCGGGCTTGGACGTTTGGGACCTCGGAAACTCCCTGGCCATGGGGCGAAGCCCTGAAACCACCCCCGATCCCTTGGCTGTCAAGCCTTCTGTTTGCTTCTCTTACCAATTTTAGGCCAGCGACGCCAGGGGGCCACTTTCCGCGGTGACACCACCACAAATTCAAGAAGTTGAGGTTGCGCAGTGATCAAGCAATGGGCACGTGTCAAAATAACAGAAGCCGGTGTTCTCCTTTTGGTTGCCCTCTAACCCCAAAAGGAGGGTACCCTCAAAAACAACCCCATGTGTCACGCAAGGATCATAAATCTGTTGCGCGATGGTCCCTTTGCGGGGCGGCCAACACAAAAACAACCGGCCATGGCACGTGTTGGGCTCGTCAAGCCGACCCCGTCAACTTCCGGAACAAACAAAGCGGAGGAAGGCCCGATGATCATTATAGGGTATGTTGATATGAGGAAAGAAACGGAAACACCAGGATGTCCGTTTCAGGTGCAATTTGGTGATTATCTGAGTGGGTTCCAATGAAGGGTTTGGGCCCAGTCAGGGCTCGGGCGGTCCAGGCGCAGCTGGCTTTGGCTTGGCCTCCGGCTCAAGCTGCCGTCCGTGGCATTGAAGAGGCCCCCAGAAATCCGGAAAAAACCAAACATATTCGCCTGAATGGGCCCGGCACAATCTCCCGAAGAAACCTTGCCTGAAAAAATGAAGCTCTGAAGCGGAGAGGTGCGCGCGAAGAGCGCAAAGCTGTAAAATTTGTCGCGGGAATTCGGGGAAGCGTTGCTACTCCCACCCTGCTACCAAACCTGGTCAAGACACTGAGGTACCTTAGGGAGGCACTCCTGATATATGTACATATATATATAACTATATGTATATACTCATATATTTTATTCCTGAGGATCCATGTTGACCATATTTGCTGAAATAGGGTATGTAGGCCCTGAGAGCCTACATGGGGTATGTCGGCCCTGCGGATTGTCGAAGTTGTCGGAACCAAGGAGTTTGTCGGACATGTCGGGCACAGCTTCCACAGAGTTGCCACACCATGTCCACATGGTCTCCACACCATTTCCGCAACATTTTGCAACATGTAAAATGTAACATCAACATAGAGTCATTCACACGTTTCCCAAACACTTCGACATTGTCCACACACATGCTTCCACAATCATACTGCGCTACGTTCAGGAGGTGCTTGCAGCGAATCAATGCCAGCAGCCTGCCTTTCGTCAGCACATTTGATAAACAATAACAAAGCTGTAGCAATACACATGGTCACATGATTTTACCATTCATGATTCATATTCATAATAGTATCTCAACCCACTCATGAAGGTTTGCTCCTTCACAAACCAGTTTGATGGCTTTCAATCCACAGGCCGAAAAGCCGCCGAGGCCACGACTCTAATGGACGACACTGTAGACCTCGCACATGTCAAGCGCACAGGGCCAGGGCTTTTGTGGTGATGCGCAACTGAACGCTCCTCTTCCCCACCCTTCCTGGGGCTTCACCGGCAGCACCTAAGCCGAGTGGTAGCTTTCAACAGCACCTCAGCAGTTGTGAAAGGACAAGCCACTCAGTCCAGCTGCATCAGTTTTGGCCGCCTTTTTGCCGTCCGTCCTTTGACTTCCTTGCACAGCCAACGAAGTCAAGATACCAATGCTGCTGCTGCAGCTGCGATTGAAAAATTTCCGGATCGTGAGGTTTCAGGAGTGCACATGGTTCATGGTTTTGGTTTGTCAATACTTTTCGACCGTGCTCCGGCCTGAGGCTTGGACGACCTGGGGTCTCTCCCGGGATTTCAAGCGTGTCCAACTCACATCATGAGTTTGAACATTATGCTGCGAGATGCCAAACAGGTGCATCTTAAAACATCAACAACTTGAGTATTTTGAACGCTGATCCACCCCAGTGAGCTCGCTTCTTTGTAAAGCGCGCAGCGATTCTAGTTGCTGCCAACTCACATCATGACCGGATATTGAAGGTGCATCTTGAAACATCAACAACTTGCGTACTTTGACAGCTGATTCATGGAGCCGCTTCGAGAGCGAGCTGCGGCCCGAAGCTCAGTCTTAGATTCTGGTTGCGTGGGTCTTCGTGAGTGATGGGTCTTGATGAGTGATGCACTTTTGGGCAGATTGTTGCACTCAGCAGGGGACAACATTAACCGCAGTTGCACGTGTTCAAGCCAAGGCGCACGCAGCTGGCTGTTTGCGACCGCCGCAGCTTGGATCGGTCGTTGGCACTCGCCTCAGTGTCATTCAGGAACCCTTCCGAGAAGAAGCCACAGTTCTGGGTTCAGCATGATGGACACAAAAAAAAGGGAGCTTGCCATTTTTGCGGCCTGCGAAAGACTCGCTTGGCCCGTCGCTTGCTGCAATATGGGCAGGGCTCCGGTGCCCACAATGGACGCAGACAACTCCTGGAACTCATGAAATCCCCTTGGCCTGGGCTGGAAATTTTGCTGCGCCACCTGCGTTCAGCACCAGACCCGTGCGGACAGCATCATTGCGCACGGGTGCCAAAACTTGCAAGCGCCTTCTCAAACCGCTGGGCTGGCACATGCTATCCAGCACGCAAAATACGAACAAGAACGCCTGATGACTTGCCCCATCTAACAAGACAAAAAGAAAGGCATCTATGGTGCTGAGAAACAACCCGCCAGCCCGACCCGTGAATTTAGAGAATGGCTAGTCCGGTCGACCTCCAGCAAGCCCCCCTCCCCCTCTACTTGCCCGAAAAGAGCGACAAAGCAGCTTCTTTACAGAAAGATCCGCCCCCGCAAATCTGCAATCTGCTCAAAGTCCATCTGCAACGCGCGTGTAGTGAGCCAACAATGACGCGGTTGATGTTGGGTCTGCGTCAAGCCTTCAAAAAATTAAGCTTTTCAGGAGCGCCCCACCTGCTGCGGCGGGGTAGCCCACGTTGTCTCAGTCTCGGCTCAAGATTGTTCTGAGATGGCATGCTCAAAACTGGATGGACTGTAATGGCCTGGACCCTCAAGCCGCGTTTTCTTAATGCGCGACACAAGCGCTTCTATGCGGCTTTGTGGGCTACAAATAGACCAGCAAACCAAGCTTTGTTGGATAGCTCGAGCTTTGTGTCAGAGGGCCCCAAAAATCCAAGTTTGGGCACCTGAAGCATGGGCGTACTCCACCATGATGTGTTCTTTGTGTCATACTGAAGATTGTTGGGCAACTGGATAATGAATCCCGGACCATGTTTGTCGAAAACCTGGTTTGTCGAATGCAGCTCTGGGAGACATCGGACGGTTCCCGGAGCGTCGGAGGTCTGCCGAGCCATCCTGCGAATGTTGGCAAATAGTTCAACACATTAGATCCTCGGGGTATATATTTATAGACATACATGTATATATATATATATATGTCTACCACATACATGCCACACATGGGAATTTGACGGCACCACCTGGGCTAACATAATCCTCTGCCACCTAAATTGTCTTCCTTGGACATCCACATGCGGCTGTAAGCCTTCAGAAGCCATCAGGTACACTCAGATTCGTGCATACTGATGATGGCTGAGTGACTGGCCCATGGCCATTGCACATGCGGCTGCGTGTCCAAAACAAAGATCCCCCCAATGGGTCAGTTTCGCGCTCCAACACACGCCTTGGCTCCCGTCGTTTGACAAAGTCACCAGGACAGCTCCAGACTGTTCCAATGACTTCAGGGCTCCAAGCCTTTTACACCCCTCCGTCCACAAAGTAGGTAAAATGGGTGACCCGAGCCAGTTAATGATGGATAGCAGGAATTACCTCCGCCGGAGAAGCCAAAGGCTTCAAACAAAACTCGAGCACGCAACTCAAACTGTGTAACCTGCAAGCCTGTCACTGTCAACGCCTCTCATGCAAGCTAGGCATCAACAACTCAGAAGCTGAACTTCATCTGGCATCGGTGTGCAACACTCCCTGCGAAATGCAAAACTCGCCACTTGGGTGACCCGAAATGGTTTCACACAAATGGCAGAAGGGGGGACTCCCCCGTGCCAGCCGCGCCTGTTGCTTTCCTGGGAGGGCATAGCATGGCACGGCTGCGAGATCCGCTTGCAAAAAACAAAAGTGTGGAACCGGCACCAGCGCTATGAGAGGGAAGAAAAGCCGAATCCGGCAATTGCCCCAAGAGGGCTATACACATGCGAAACAAAGATTCATTGACCCTGCTCAACTTGAGGAATCAAGCAGACTTGGAAAGAACCCCGCAAGATCCTGGCACTCCATCTAACGAAGGACCATTCCTGGAATGGGATTGTCGGGTATGGAGCCATATAAGGGAAGAGTGGGCCGTATATACCCCAAATCCAAGGCTTGTACTTACAACGGCAAAAGATTCGACTTGTTGTTTTGCTCCATACGTTCCCAGAGATGGCCATGGATCTGACTTTCTCATCCGCGCCCAGCTCGCAGCAGGTTGGGCATCAAACTAATTGCAGCGAGGTTGACCGATGCACCTGAAGAGAGAAGCCACCCTAAACGTCTTCAACTGAGATAGCTGCAAGTCTGCTGTGATCTGTTCTACCATCCCAACTTGAGTAGAACAGCAGGGGTCGTTCAAGCACACTTAAGAAATTGTGTGGACATTGCCACCCTGAAAACAGACTTCAAGCATACCAAACACACATTCACACACACAGACTCACACGCGCACATACACAGGCAACACATCGACACGCAGGCACACACGACATACACACACGAGAAAAACCCACCCACCCACCCACCCACCCACGCACGCAAGCAAGCAAGCACGAGCACGCACGCACGCACGCACGCACCACTCACGCAGCCGACTCGCTGCGAAGTCAGCTGAGGTCAGCACTCAAGGTGGGCCGCTCCCAAGAGGACCTCAGGTCGCTAGCCTTTGGTCCTGTGGAGTTGTCTCAAAAAAATCGGGGGGGCAAAGTTGCAATTGGCCCCCTAAAATGGCAACGGTTCCTTTGAGCAACCAAAAAGGGTGCCAGAAAGGGCTTCTCCAATGATGGACCCCTTGTTGGTTGGTACATAAAGGGAAACCAAAAGGAAACCTAGTCTTGTAGGGGACCAACATTGGGCTTCCCTAAAATGGCCATGGTTTCTTTTTGGATCCCCCGCCCCCCCAAAAAAAAGGGCCCCTCAAATTTGGGAGTGAGAGCCGGCATGCGTTGAATCTTCCTACATCCGGCGAAATTACTGAATGGAACAGCTCTCATAACCGAAGATCGCTGAAGCCCTCATCATACTCCTCCGCAAGAGCTAATTAGGAGAACCCTCAATGTGCGCGTCGATGCCTGCTTCTACCAAAACCAGATAGCCCCCACAGCAAGCGCATCCAACCTGCAAAGCCTCTTACTCAAATGATCAACTGCCTCAACTGTGCTGCTTAGCCAGCCCCTCTCAATCACCACCAATGCAGGCCATCGCGGCATGACTCGAGCCACCAGGAGCCGCGCTGCTTTGTCGGCCGATGCCAGTAGTAAAAGGAGCCATGCTCCTCGTATGATTAGCCATAGCTTAACTTCCATGGTGGGTAGCATAGCTTTGCTCAACTTCCATGGTGGGTAGCCTCCGGAACACAAACTAAGCAAGGCGAGCTCAAAGAGGGGCGAGAAAATATTGATTGGCAAACCATGCATGATCTTTCTCACCTCTGCTAGATTCATCTCTGTCTAATCTTTTGAAATGCAGCACCTTATAGGTGTGTGTGTGTGTGCCCCATTCCCTTTTGCGGCTGAAGGATGCAAGCACTTCATGTTCTAACGCAAAACTGGATCCGGGATTTATCGCTGGGGTTGTATACCTGCAGCTTCTAGCTTGCTATCCAAGCAAATGGTCCGATTCGCTCTCTAGGTCTTACTTGAAAGATGACAGTTCATAGTAAACCCTGCCTGGACATGGCGTTGAGGACACACCTTCAAATACTCCGGGATGACCTACCGTTCGCCTTAGGCTTCTTCCTGGCCGAACACAAACCAACAAGGCGTTGGCAAACTTCATCCGTGGTGAAGCCCCCCGTCCACTTCCATGATTGGAGAGAGCGTACATGCTTGCTGTCCACATCGGTCCCTCTAGTGATGACGAGAACAGCGGGGTTGAAAATCCTCCGATTAATCCCAGTCAGGGAACGGTCCTTAGGGAAACAGGTCAGCAGGGAACGAGACCCGGGGAAAACACCAACGAACGGTTGCCGCATTCCCCGGCAGGTTGAGTTGCACCAAATGATATTGACCAACACTCCAACTCCGCGCGTGTGGTTGTTCGAATGTGTTTGTGTGTGTGTGTGGAGTGGGGGCGCAAGTGTGCTTCCTGCTTCTCTGTGTCTTGCCTGGTGCGCAAGCATCCTGAGTCGGAATTCACGTAAGCGCGTCATAGTGCGTCAATCATCGCAGGCATGCGGGCATCCAAGCGTGAGGGTTGCATTGCATGTTTGTGTGCTTGGTTGTTTGCTGGTTTGTGTGTGTGTGTGTTGTCTGTGTGTGTCTGGGTGTTTTGTGCGGGTGTGTCCAAATGAGGGAAATCTCAGGGTGGTGGCTTTCATGTTGAGACTTGGGGATGGCGCTCCTCATTGTGAGGCGTGCTTAGATAAGATTCAATCTAAGAAGCAAACTGATTTCGGCCCCTACCCAAAAGCGCCGCTTTTGAAGCAGAAACTCAGGAAGTGAAAGCAAAGGTTGCGGCAGCTCCTCTGACCAGTGCTGCTCCCATCCCGGCGGCAGCGGCGCTTCGGGATCCTGATATCCGTCCGAAACCCTCTGACTTGAAGGCTTCGTTTCCAAAGTTGCTCCCAATCCTCTTTTGAAAAGCTTTTGCAAGACAAGTGCTGGCACCCCAGCTTCTGCCCCGAAATGTTTGCAATGGCAGGCAAACCGCCTCGCAAGGCTTCTCCGCTTACGTTCGATGCACAGGGCTTGGGAGCGTTCAATGGCGAAAATGGCTTGCTCTTTCCGAGCCAACCAATCATATGTGATACTCGAGACAAGCCAAAAGGTCCAGGCAGCTTTCACATCCCAAGATCATAAAAATCAAATAAATTGGGTTCCCTCTAGATTGCTTCACATGAAAACACACAGCAACCCAGAAAGGGGGACTCCTTCGATGGATGTCTCGCGCCTCCTCCGCCTCTGGCGCAGTCTCTGGCATGTCGGACTCTGCCGCGTCCTGAACCGGTCCGGGGCAATTGATGTGGCAAAATGGGGATTTGGACCCCCGAAACAGCGGTCTTCCTGCCGGTTTGCCTGTAAACCAACGCTGAAGAGGGTCAAACAACTCTCCACACCCATTTGTGGAAAGGCTTCGCGCCTTGTCTGCAGCACCCTCAAGCAGGGGAAAGTGAGAACCGAAGAGCCCTCACTGGACTTAGCTGTGTGGACAATGAAATGTGTTGAACCTGGAAGCCTGAGGACAAGTCTGAAAACTTGTGTTCCACCAAACTGAGGCCTTGTTTTCACCAAGGCAAAGCCAGGCATAAGAGCGCGGGCCCGAACACGCAATATAAAGAGCATGACATAGATGTGTAGTATAACATATATAGATATAGATATAGATATAGACATATCATAAAATACGTACATATACATGTATATGTATACATATATATATATACATATGTGCATATGTGTATACATATATATATATATATTATATCATTTTGTATGTATACATATATATATATATGGTGCGCTTCAGCTACTTTTTCAGGTAATGTTGCATGTTTTTGGCCAAACTTGGGCACCAAGGAAGGGGTGTGTGCCACAATTCTACAATTAAGAATTCTGGACCCGAGATTGCTGGGAGACGTTCAATGTGAGAATTTGGAATTCAAGATTAAAAACAATCTTTTCTGGAATTCTGGAAGATTGAATATCGCATGCATTAAAAAAACAAAACTGGGATTCAAGATTCAAGATTTCAAATTAATCTGTTTTCTGGGAATCTTGAATCTTGAATCAATCCCAGATTTGTTTTATGTTCTTTTAAAATTCCAGGTTTGTCCCAATACTCTCGGTGTTCAATAAGAAATATGTCAATCTCGAATCTTCAATCCAGTGGTAAAATACGTTCGAAGTTTTAGAACGACTTGATCATTTTTTAGGGGTTGACCAGGATGGATGATTCTCAGGAAAGTTGTTGTTTGTGCAATCCTCGATATTGAGTCCTCAATCCAGTGGTAAAGCACTTTTCAAGTGTGAGAAGAACTTGAATGTTGTGTGGGTTTGGCCAGGATAGACAATTCTCAGGAAAGTGTTCTGTGTAATCTTCAATCTTGACTTTGTCCATCCAGTGGTAAAATACTTTCAAGTGCTTAGCGATCCAGTGGAAACCCTTTCAAGTTATTAGTTAGACAAACTTTCAAGTGCTTTTGGTGAGCGGCTTGCTTCATGCTAGCTATGAAGCATGTTGACCCTTTTCCAGGAGGCAAACAAAGGTGGGCGTAAGGCTCAAAAACACTTCTTTTTTACAGTATTGTTTTTACAGGATCATTCAGGGTACTATATATGTGTATATGTGTATATATATATACATATGTATGTGTGTTCACACACCGTCACCCCCGCCTCTTGAACTACCTCTCCACATTTGCTCATCTACTACCTCCGCCTTTTGAGATAGAATGAATTGTGTTTTCCTGTGCAAATAGAAAAACTGATTCAGCTAGAATCCCTGTTTCGAAATAGTTTTAGAATTTGAACCTCTCTTCCCTTGAAATTTCCTTTTGGAAGACCGTCTAACAAGTTTAATTTCGGACCTTTCTTATGCTGCAAAAGGGCCAGGGTATAAATAACACAAACCGTATTTTGAATTTCCTTGTAGAAGTCCCTTAAATGTTTAGCCATATTTAATATGAGCCTAATTTGAGAAGTAGTCTCAATTTAATTGTTATTATGAAAAGCTAATTGAGTTGTGCTCGTTTTAGATTATATCTAACACTTAGACTATATTTGGGAATCAACTCCTAACTTCTTTTGTTGACGATTAGTTGGAGTTTGCCCGAAACTATACTTAAGTTTTTCATGTAGCTCCGATTTGGAAAGGATTTGCTTATATAAGCTGTAGTTGAGCAATGTTGAGCAAAAAAACATGATTGAACACTATATCCTAATCAAATTATATTCAAAATTCCAATTCTCGCAGAAGTAAAATCCTATTTGGAAAGGGTATCATCTTGGGACATTTCGGATCCTGCCATGATGGACTGCAAGCCCATGCGTCTGTGCTTAAAATCTATTGCAAAAAATATAAACTCTACAACCTGAGCGCTGAAATCAAGCTTGAAAACCTAGGCACCAGGGGGGGGGCGTAGCATATATATATATATATATATATATATGTGTATATCATTATGTATAAACCATATACATATATATATATATAACGTTGGTTGGCCTTACAAACCACTCGCTGAGATTTGGCTCCTGCTGCCCCCACTGCTTCACCAGCTGCGCCACAGGGTTAGCAACCCGGGCGTGCTTGGCCGACCGCTCGCCTGAAAGCGGAAGCCGTGTGCCGAAACGCCCCTGGGAACGTGGCCCTTGGGTGGAGAACATTTCTGGGAAAACTGTGCCCGCCCACTTTGGAAGGATGTGTTTTGTGTTTTTCCGAAGATAGACCAAAGGGAAGCACACTTGTCAGAAAACAGAAGAAGACTTGGCAAACACGCCAGCAATTGATTCTCGCACCTGGTGTTCGTCAGCCTTCAGCGCAACCCATTCACTTCAATGAGCTGAACCCAATGCAGATTCTCCAGCAACTGCACTTCCGGGCTTTGAGGTATGCAGGCTGTTGCCAAGCCTTCCAAATTGTTTCTGGCACGTGGCACTTCAACGGCAACGATGCGCACTTCCGATGCCACTCCAAATTGTTGGAATGCTCAAAGGGACAATTCACAAGGAGGCTGGTATCTGCGTGCTTGCAGCGAGCGTTGCTTGCCACGGGAGAAACCATTACCTTATCTGCTAATCACCCAAGAAAGAAAAAAACCGGGTGCCACTGACTGAAGTTAGCAAATCGAAGTTAGCTCATCCTCTCTCCCTCTTTCTCCCTGCAAGCAAACTGCAACACAAGCAAGTGCCAGAAGCATCACTCTAGGCAGAAAGGAGAAAGAGCGGGATAGCAAACCATGACGCTTGCTTTCACGTATGAACTGCCTGCTCCGGCTCTAACTGCTTTGGCATCACCAAGATTACAAGGTGCTTCACTTCCAAGACCAGTCAGGAAATATCATGCTTTTGAACGCCTTCATGAAAACGCAGTCAAGAAGAAGCTTCACTATCATCCTTCCGGTCGACCTTGCTCCCCAAATCCGTCGCACAGGCGCCTGCGTCGCTGGTCGCCTCACAACCAGGAGATTTGAAAAGCAGTGGGAGAATCCTATGCCCGCCTATCACCTGTCCAGTCCAGTTTGGAGCTTTGAGTATCGAGGGCATCGGCCAGCCAAATCCTCACTTTACCGTCTCATGCAGCAAGTCCAAGGGAGTGTCAAACATCAGTTGTTTGATGATGCTCCTATCACTCCCACATCCACTGAAAAAATCAGTTTGAGATGCGGAACTGGTTGTTGTGTGCCATTGTCAAAATTGTTCATGTATGTATAAATATATATATATATATATAAAAGTGGCAGTGTCTTCGTCGATTCCATAGATGGAATCATTGATATCGAATCCATCACATGCTGAGGCTGATTCCATGCCAAGGTGAAGAGCTCAACATTGGCAAAAAAGGCACGCCAAGAGGAACAACTGGATATCCCATCGAGTGCACCTCAAGGGACATTGATACCCTGGAAGACATCCAATATATCTTTTACATCTGGGGCTCCTGACCTGCCATTGATTGCAGGTGTCATGCCAAAGATGTTCCCATGCCGATTTAATGGGATTGGTCACCCTTCCTTGTCCAAGAAGCTCCGTAATTACATCGCGGGTGGGGCTAACATCAGAAGACCTTCACACGAGGGATCCACAACCGGTCCCACCATCTGGCCTTCCCCCTATGACGCTTGGTGAGGTCGAGCGGCTGCTTTGGCAACTCCTGTACGGCAGTCTTCTCAGCACGTTGCGAAAACCAAAATCTGAAGTATTTGCAGATCTTCCCACATAGCTTTTGGCTTTTGGCGTTGGTTTTTGGCCTTGGTTTTCTGGCTTTGGTTTTTGGCGTTGGTTTTCGGCTTTGGCTTTTCTGCGCCATTTTGGTGGATTACGAACCCTGTGGTGATGCCTGGGAACCCAAACCCGAGGACAAGGTGCTGATTATGGGAGTCTCTCAAAATGGACCGCTTTTTGGTACTTAAGGTGAAACCAAAGGAATGCAACACATCCACTTTAGGAACCGAACCCTATTTTGAGAAACGCCACTTAACTCTCCTTCTCTATGGCGTTGGTTGACGGAGCTATGCTGCAAGCTGGCGGTTGGTCACTCGTCAAATGCATCGCGGGAACGGGTCATGTGGTCTTTCTTGTATCTCGCTGCCATGCATCACTTGGCATGAAAACTCAAGGCACAGCCAAATAATCACTTTTCAAACCAACTGGTGTGGAGACTGGGTGGGGAAAGGGGAATAACTTCAACATCTTCAACCAAACTCAGGTCACCTTTTGGAGCCCATCCAACTGCGGTTCAAATAAAACTGCAAGCAATACAACAAAGGCAATTTGGGGTTGAATGGACCTCGTCTTTGATGAACTTTGTCAAACATATCATACGATGATGATTTCCGAAAACCCCTCCTTGGGTTGGCTTTAAGCGGAGGGTTCCGTTGTTAAGACAAAACGTTCCGCTAAGTTCGATCTGGATATTCGCCACCCAGCGGCCCACCTGGCCTTGGCCTCAGATGGCGCTTCTGGCGGCTCCCAGCTGGACACTCTTGTTGGCTGGTGCCAGTAGTAGTGCTGGCCTGGGCCGATTGGAAAAACAAGAAAAAAGGCACCCCTCGCTTGAAAAGGCACACTCACTTGCGCTCTGGCGCGCGGGCGGGGGGGGGGGGCCAGGCAGGCGGGGACCTGCAAACACATGAACGAAATCACAAGCGAACCACCCAATCAATTTGCAAATCCATCGCCCGCGCGCTCAACCAGACAATCAAACAATGACCTTCCGCTTGCTCGGCCTTTCGCGCGAGCTGGGAGATTCGCTTGAGCGCGCTGCCTGTCTCGACATCGAGAACCTTCTGCCAGCCCTGACAGGCGTGCTCACCGCATGTCCCTCAAAACCGCGGACCCTTGGACTTGTGCAAGACACCGCTCCACTTCAGGGCACAGATCCACATGGCATCCTCAACAAGTGTTAGGAGAGATGCAAATGGGATCCAAATGAAATCCATGGTTTTGGCCCTGTTTCAACCCGAATTGTGAGACTGAAACACCAACGCGAACTTGCTTTGAACAGCCGCATGGCTTTTAATCCCCGCGGCCTCCGGCAAGGCTTCCTCCGGAGGCTCCGAAGGCCTTGTCCATCTGGACTCCTTCGAGGAAGCCACTGGAAAATCATATGTTGGGTGCACTAAAACAAGACACACCCACATAGTGGCCTTGGTGGTTGCAGGTACACCCCAACCATCCTAAGTGTCAATGCTGGAACCCACCGTTTTCCACGAAAGTGAAAGGGATCCGCTGGAACTATGAAGGGTCAAGCGCTCTGCGCACCCCAAGGATCTTTACTACCAGGGGGTCCTGTTTTGAGCAAGTCAAGAGTAAACCCTGACTAGCTGAGCTAGGTGAACAGAAAGAAAAAGAAGGAGAAGGAGACAGATCAAGAGTAACAGAAAGAGAAAGCGAAAGAGACACAGAAAGAGAAAGAGGAAGAGAAAGTGGAGAAAGATAAAGAGACAGAAGTGGAGACAAAATGAGACAGAAACAATGCAAGGGAATGAACAAGAGAAAGAGAAGGAGAAAGAAACACAGAAAAGAGTGCAAAAGAAGAAAAGAAAGGGAAAGAGAAGAGACGGAGAAAGAGGCAGAGAGAGAGAGAGAGACAGACAGAGAGAGAGAGCGAGGCAGAAAACGAGAGAGAGAGAGAGAAGCAAAAAACAGAAAGAAAGAAAGAAAGAAAGAAAGAAAGAAAGAAAGAATGCAAGAAAGAAAGCAAGAAAGCAAGCAAGCACAAAAGCAAGAAAGCAAGAAAGCAAGAAAGCAAGAAAGCAAAAAGCAAGAAAGTAAGAAAGCAAGAAAGAAAGAAACAGAAGGGGGAAGAGAAGCACGCTCTACATATACTTCGTGTCTTTTGAAACTTCCGCTGCTGTATTTGTAGGAGTTGCCATCCCAAAAAGCCCCTAGTTAAAGGGGCTGGCCCGTCGTCCGTCAAAGCCTTATTGCCGTGAGATGCTCAAATGCTTAGCATGGCGGCAATGCTTGGGGAAGTACCGAGAAGCAAAAACACAATCACAAACACAATCACACAGACCCACACAGCCACAGCCACAGCCACAGCCACAGCCACAGCCACAGCCACAGCCACAGCCACAGCCACAGCCACAGCCACAGCCGCAGCCACAGCCACAGCCACGCACGCATGCAAGCACGCATGCATGCAAGCACGCATGCAAGCACGCATGCACGCACACACGCACACACGCGTACACGCACACACGCGCACACCCGCACACGCGCACCCGCACGCAAGTACGTGTGCTCGGTCACGCGGATAGACCGACAAAGGCGCACGTTGAGACACGCTGCAACACACTGCCGCTCGCTGAGACACCTCTTAGACACAAACACTGACAAGCTAATCCGTCCATTCATTTTCCGCCCCACATGCATTAGTCCCTCCCATCTCCTTGTTGGCATTGTTCCAGAAGTACCACTCCCTGTGCTCCTCGCTCCACACTCTCTTCCATCCCTGCGGCAGCGACTCCTCCTGGCCAAGGCTTGGGTGAAACCAACGGGCTCCGAGAAGTGGTCACCAAAGAACTGTTGATAGTGTCAAAACACAAGTGACATAGCTACATGTTCTTCTGAGATGCCCGTTCGGCTCTACGACCTTGTCGTTTCCTCATCTTGGATTTGCCACAGCTTTTGGTTCTTCTCATTATCTCTGTGCTTGGCATAAGTAACATCACGATGGCTTGCGCATACTATACAAGGGCACATTGCCCGCTCCTAGCACCTCAGGAGGTCAGGACAAAGGAAAACCAGGCCTAAGCCGAGCTATTCCTTCTCTGTCGATTCAGCCTGATATAGGGAGATACTGTAAAGGTACAATATTTTTTGGGTACCCCTATTTTGAGACAAACCCAATTCATATGGGCTTGATTTTGAGGAGCATCAAGTCGAGGGCAATGGCAATGACCCGAAAGAAAGGCAATCTCTACTCTAGCAACCCTTTCATGAAGGCGCAAGCCTCACATGAGGTGTTCATCATAAACTTGAATCCCACAGGCTGCCCATTGAAAACCGGAATTCCTTCATATTGTTCAGTATGGTCCAACATTGCACTACGAAAAGCGGTTGACTCTGAACAGGCTTCTTGGGCAGGCCCTCTACGCATCCCTTAGCCCGATCCGGCGACGAGTTGGCTTTCTGGAGGCTCTATGAAGGGTCAGTGCATAAACGCCTCCTGAAGCGTCAGCCAGAAATCTGGAACGTAGGGTGAACCACGCCATGCCACTCAGCCCACCCATCCCGCCTCCTTCACAGCGGCTCCCGCCTCCTCCGCCTCCGCGTCGAACGCCGCGGCATCGGCGCAGCCGAGGCCCTGAGGACATGCGAAGGGCGCGGGATGGCAACGTCGAACAGGGCAAAGCCGTCGGATGAATGTTTGTCGGCTAATCCAGAAAGCCGCGTGTCCCAGAGCTGAAACTCAGACATGTGCCCATCCTGGAATAACCAGGGGCAGACCGGCGGCTCTGTGCTTCTGAAGAGTGGGTCTCTCGACATCTCGACAGCGCAAAACCAACGTCATACAACAGTCATACAACTGCCGCTATGAAAAAGACCCCTCAAATGCGTTGGATGCACATGGACACACCAAAACTGCGGCGACCTGCAACGAGGGGCAGACCATCGACTTTCCAATTACTACTGTAAGATCTACGCTCCTGACACGGAATCGATACTACTAATATAGCAATTGAGACTTGAGACACCATTTTTGTGGATTTGCTTTTCTTTCTTGTTTTACGACACAAACTATTGATTGCTTGCAATGCTAAAAAGTAAGATCATTAGCTATGATATTAGGATGTTGTGACTAGTAGATAGCATAAGACGATACAAAGAAATAAGAAGGAAGCTGCGCCCCGACAGAACGTGCTCCTCTGGGTCCAGGGGAGTGTGTGCACTCTAAGATTTGTGGTTTCTTGCGTTCCTTGGGCGCAACAACCTTCAAAACTGGCTCACCAGTCCAAAGATTGCCAAGGTCAGTAGGCACATCTACGAGGCTTAAGCGGAAACCCTTCACACCAGGGGCTTATGGAAGGTTTGGCATGGGCCGTTCGACACAGACGTCTTGCGTAGGGGTCAGCAGGGCGTGTCTCTTTTTTTGAGCGTGCCATGGGTACCCTTGTTTTTTGCCGTTGAAGGGAAACCACAAGGACAACCACCATTCTGGGGCGCCCGTTTCTCTTCATCCGGCGGTTTCATCGGGTGTCACAAAGAGTAGATGGCACAGGTCCGGGCCCATTTGGTATGGGTACATTTTTCATCGGTCTTAATGGCACCGCACTTGAGAAGGGGAGACGCGAAAGGTTACCGTATAGTGATTCCCCTAAACCATGGAACGTCCCCGGGACAAAGTGTGGAGGTGTTTGTGCTAAAACTGAGGTACCCCCAGCACCGTATAATTGTGCATAGCCCACTATGAAGCAGACATGCACTGAGTGTCCCATATCAACTTCGGAATACACCACGACTGACTGGGAGGACCGGCCTTGAATCACAAGAGCAAAACGGTGCGAAAAGCGGACCGAAGTGTGAAGCGAAGCGAACCAAAAGAGCGGTGAGAAGACCAGAAAAAGGAGCGAAGCTGCCACTCAGGCAGGCGGGTCCCAGGCGGACCAGGGGGGAGTCGAAAGGGGAGTGAGGGGGGGGCTAGGCTGACCCCCAAACTGCGAACGCAAGGACAAACTCAAGCTTGAGACTACCTTTCGTGAAAATCATCCCCTTACCCAGTTACACAGTTGAATTGTGTCTGTCTTTGCGAAGGTACCGCTCTCACCTTTTAAATGAAAGGCAAAAAGAAGATCGATGCCATGTTTTGGCCCCCCACCCCCCTATCTTAACACACACCCAATCGGGCTGTTCTCAAATTTTGGGGGGTCCCGAAAAAGTGAATGAAGTTGATGGCCTTTTGGTTTCCTTTAAAGCACCTCCCAGGCTATGGAGCCTCGGCAAGGACCGCCACCCGGGACCCGCTCACCCGCGGGAGACGTCCCCCAGCTTTGTGCCTTGGGGTCCCGGTAGAGCATGAAGTCCAGCTCACGCCCCAGCTCCGGCTCGGTGCCGGGCCTGGCATCCACTGCATCCATTGCGTCCCTTCGTTCGGCCGAACCGACTTCAGGGGGGGGTCACTTCTAGTAGTGCACGCTGAAACAACCCAGACAGATGCGGTTTCTGGCGACCATAACTTAGGCAACCGAAAATGATTATCTGATTAGCCTGGGGTGGGGGATGTTGAAGCTAGTCATTTTCGCAAGAGAATCATCTATGTAATGATTTCGCAGCTTATGCTGTTTTGCCCACCAACCAACATGGAAGCGAAGAGGGCCCTGGAAAACGACGTTTCTGGTTCACAGGGCGTGCATATCTATGTGGGGTTCAAGGTGAAGAAAAGCTACACGGGATACCTCCGTCGCCGCGTTTCCTGTCAACCTTCCAACAAGGATGGTCCTCACCCCAATCAGGCATGATCTTCGGCATTCTCAGCTTGTTCGTAGATTCCACAATGCCAAGATTGGTTGTGTACCTGCAAACACCAAGTCATGGGTGGCCAAACGCCAGGCCAGTGAGGAAGTGGCGTGCAATGCAACCGCAACATAAAAAGGAAAGACCATAGAGGAATCTCCTATTGGTTACGCCCCACCGCTGGCTCTCTGTTTGGTTCGTGATTTGTTGTGGGAAGCTGGAACAGGGAGACAGGGTGCCACAGAAACATGCCATCCATTGCGTCACCTACAATCGGGCGTGGCCACCTTGTTCAACTCAAACGAAAAGCTCTCCACACATCGCCGGCCTGAGATCTTTGCGGTGAAGATATAGCCGGCCATTGTAGTAGGGGCCAATGTCCTGGCAAACCCAAACGCGCGCACTTGCTTGTTCGCTCCAGAAGGGTCATCTAGAACTACCAGTAGCTACCCGGACCCGATGTTGCCATCACATCCACGTTTGTCGATATTGTGATTTCTTATCTGCATTGTGCTGCCTTAATTACCAATTTGGTCCATCCTGATCAGATCTCAAGCTGGGTCCTTCAAAAAAATAGGAACCCCTCCAAGTGGTAGGTTTCTCTTTGGTTTCCCATTAAAGCCATCCAAAAGGGGGGGTTCCTGTTACCTCGAACACGCTAAACGTCTCGACGTGGTGGCTGAGCGCACGCTGACAGCCGGTTCTGCGACCCAGTTTCTGACTTTGATAAGCCGTGGAGACAGCAAACAAATGAACCCAGCAAACAACTGCCGCTAAGCAATAAAAGAATTGCCGAAAAGGAAATCAGTCTCTTGTTGCCCTTTTATGGCAAGAGCTGATCATTTGGCTGAGTTCGGAGAATCAATGTGGCAACAATCGATTTGACAGATGCAAACATACCAAGGACATACCAAGAACATATTGCTCATCCTTCTCGTTTCCCTGCAGTGTGCACTCCGCTCATTGCTTTTATTCCTCTTGGTCCAAACCAATTAAGTAGCGGCATCCCCCCATTCTTCACCTCCAAAACATTGTGACGTGCGCAGTAGGATTGATCTCAGGGCTGCGGGACCTGTGTGTCAAAGCCCTATGTCAATGTCTCCGACTCTAGGCCACGGTCGAGTTCCCAAAGCTCGGCCTTGACGCCTTGTGGGAAGCAAATGGATTTCTCTTGTAGCGGGGCTCTACACTCTACGCTTCCAGAAGGGCTGGATTTATTTCTGCAAAAAGCAGCGCGCAAGCATGGTTCCAGACCATTTACCGTCTGCCAAGATTTGCGAGACCGAACACAGAGTGCAAGCAGCCTCAACCACCATTGCCCCCATGCCATATAACCAAATTGCGCCCTTAGTGTTGGCTCACAGCGTACATGTCATCCAATCGCTCAGTGGGAACCTCTCGGTTGATTCCCCTTCTGCTCGTCTAGCATTAAGCTTCTCTACTTCTCTACCATCCCCAAAGCACCCTTTCGCAAGAATTGCGAGCTCTCTGCATTTCGCACAAGGCGACTCAGGTGCAACTCAGTCGCCTTGTGCGTTTTTTTGGCACTCGCACTTGGCCTCCGAGACCCCAAAGTGAAACATGTCCTGTCCGGCGATCTCATTTCATAACCGACTCAAGCGTCCATTCCGGGAAAATTCGAGGAGTGGAATTTCGCTTCTCACCTTTCATCCTTGGACTTCGTGTCGCAAAGCGCGTCACTTCTGGCGGGCTGCTTGACAGCCTCGCAAACGTTGGCATGGCAGATTGTTTCGTGCCCAATGAGAAGTGAGTGCTCTTGTTCACCAAGCTGTTGCGCACCTGACATGATAGTAAACTCGGTCCTGTGCCCAGATTCACTCTGTTCTCTCGGGTGGTTGGCCCCTTGAGGCATTTCACGTGAACAAAACAACTTTTACGTGCCAAAGGATCAGCCGGGAAAAGTGAAGGCCGCGTCAAATGCCAAGTCTAACCAAAGGCTATCTTGGCGGACGCGAAAACGAGCTCCGTCCCCTTCCCTGGATCCCAGCCCTCTGGAGGTGTTCTGTCGTGCCGGCGGGGGGGGATGTAGGAGCCATTTTATGAGCATGGGGCCTAAGAGTTGGTATCCATGGTGTGAAACCCATCAGCCAAGGCTCGATAGAGACACCAAAAGGATTCAACCATCCGGACACTTCCTGATGGACAAAGACTGCGACAATGCAAATAAGCTCGGTATCCTCAACAGCATGCGGCACTCTTATTCTCGCGGAACCCTGCGAAACCTTTCCTCAGAACCCTCGCAGAACCCTGCTGAACCTTCCTCAGAGCCACCCCCCCGGACTATCCCAATACCTCCAACGCCTGTTACTCCAGAACCTTCCTTGAACCTTCTGATGATCAGACCCCCGACAACCTCCGGACTTTCTTTAAACCTTACACCTGGCCTGCGCCAGACCACCCCAGAACGTCCGGAACCTTCCTGGAACTTTTCGCCTCGCCTGCACAAAACCACGACGGAACCTCCGGAACCTTTCTTGAACCTTACACCTGGCCTGCACCAACCTTGCACCAAACCAGCCCCAACCTGCGGAATCCTGCTCGAACCTGACTCCAGACCCGAGCCACCCCCAAACGAATCTGTGCTGAGACCCCATGGCTTTCAGCTGTTGGGGGAGAAGCTGTTCAAAGGTCTAAATCCAATGTGAAAGCCTTTATGGAGGGTATGTGGAAGATCAAGTTCAGGTCTGGGTAAACAAAAGCAAAAGACAAGCCCTTTGCCGCTTGCCAGAACAAAACCAGCCCCACAAAACCATCCCCGAAGATCCAATGACATCCCTCCAAAACTCCAGAAACTGACCCCTGGTTCGAAGTTCGCCTCACACCCATTCCAGCCTCGCCAGAAGCCGCACGGCGCTTCACCAGCAATGCTACACCCAGCAGCAGCACCGGCACCAGCAGCGTCAGCAGAAACGGCTCCCGATAGGCTGTGCCGCCTCAGGTCGTTGCTCTTGGCTTTGGGTCTGCGACCCTCCAAAATCCGGGCTTGTCTGGACCTTGTCGACCTTGAGGGTGGTCCCGAAAAAGTGCCCATGCTGAAAATGCCCATGTCAACTAGAGGTTTGGGAGTTTTGAGGCCATAGATTTGCGAGGGAGCAACCGATGCATGGCTTGGGGGGTCAAGGTCATAGCCATAGCCGTCTTGGGTCAAAGCTGCAAACACCCACGTCCACAAGGTGAGGCTGAAACTCCTTGGCGCGATTCACCACAATCTCATAGCTCGGGTAACCTCAGCTGGAGGCTTCTTGCTTGTCCCCGACATTTTTAGGTAACAAGCATACACGGGCCTTTTGAAAGCAGCTCCTTGCTGTGCCACCTGTGAGGCTCGCTACCTTCCACGTCTGTGGGATGGAGCTGGTGTTCTCCAGTCCGCAGGCATCCAATTACACAATCTGCCGTCTAAGTCCTGATGGGGATGGAGATATATTTAGGCACCCTCAACAGTATCTTCTTTTCCGAGCCGTCATGAAAGCATGTGGAGGAATGACGGCCATCGTAGCAGGTACCCCCCAAAGCTCATTATTATCAATGAAATCACAACAGTTCGCTCCCAAGCAAACGACCTGTATTGAAGGCACCTCCTCTATTGTAGGACCCTCGTCAACTGCCTCCCAAAGGAGGTCTTCCTTGGGCAGCTGATTTGCTCGTCGCGACGAGCACTTCCCCGAAGATTGAATCCCAAAATGCTGGGAACTGAAGCTTGGGCCTCTTGCTACAGTCACTCTTCCTGAACGAGTGTGTGTCTTGGTTCCCCAAAAAAGACAGACCAATACCTCAAGCTCTTCAAAACATGAGAACTCAAAGAGTGACAGGTTCGTTACCCTCTTTCCAACAGAAATGGAAGCGGGCAAAGTCCCAAAAAGCTTTCAAAGACCCTCCTGTCAGCTTGAATTGTTGGAGGGAGGGTATACTGGCCAGTATAAATTGCTTACACCAGGGCGAAGCTAGATGGCACCATTCTCTTTGTGTAAGTCTTCAACATGGAGGAATTGGCAGCTGAGGCACACGCGCAACGCAAAACATCGGCAACACGCTTCTCACATGGAAAAACACGCGCGTCTTCAATCTCCCAGGTCACCCACCAGTCCGAGGATGGACGAATTATTCAATCCCTTCGCTATGAATCAACCCCCCCCCTCCCGCCCCTTCCCGCCGGCAGCACCCAAATCTCAATCAGGCATTGCGTCGAGCGCACGCTGTTGGCTGGGGGGTCTTATAAGTGTGTGCGCGCGCACGAGTCTGTGCCTAGGCTCCCTCAAAAAGACACTCCCAAGCGCACCTTGCTTCTAGTTCTTGAGCCGGGCAGCATTTCTGCCAATGCCCGCAAGGGCAGCCAAGGGCGCATCCCAGGCTACGATGATCGTCCCAGACGCATGGACTCGAAACTGCCTCAACCGCGATTGTCTAGGCAGCAGGGAAGCCGAGAAGGCTATCTTTGTTGACCTCGACTCATTCGGGTGTGTTATTTGAGGGAACCCTTTTCACCGGAAATCAAGAGGGAAAATACTCCGTTTTGGAGGCTCCAGATGCCTTTTTAGCCGCATAGCCATGTTGTTGGAAGCGCCAAGTCATCAGCCGCACCTCCCTTTTTCTCCGGCATGGGCACCAATCTGCAGTCTGAATCGCTATGAACTATCGGACTGTTTAGGCGTCCTGTGTCAATGATCTATCTGCCTTTTCTCCCCATGGCTTGTCGCATGAGCCGTTGGCGGCTTATTCTGGAGCCAATGACTGGGTCATGCATATATGCTGCTCGGAGCCTCAAAACATGTCACTGGGAGAGCACCTCCCAACCATGTGACCTTTTGGAAAAAGAGTTGGTTTTAAAAAGCAGCATACCACTCATCTAAACCAGTCCCATCTACGTCTAACCAAACTAATCTACAAAGGACCGTAGGCTCCCAACAGGCACAATGCCGGCCTCCGGCTTGCGCCGCATGAGGTCTCCCACTTCGCGCATTCATCAAGCAACGGAACCCTGGGACGGCCGCGGTCTAAACCCCGCGCCCGGCTGATCCGAAATGCGACACGGCAAGTGGAGCCCTTCTGGATTTCAGAAGGGAAAAACAAACCGGGTTCATAAAATCGGGGATCCCAACCAATCATTCATTGGTTGTCCTTTGGTGTTCCTTTAAAGCCCACTCCAAAAAGGGGTACCGAGCCTCCAGAAAGACAGCTGAAGGGTGTTGGAGAATCCAAAAGCCCCATCTGGTCGGCATCTGACAAAGTGCAACATCACAACCGAGCATCTCAACTGTCAATGTCACATACCGCGCAATAGTATTTTAATTAGGGGCCCTGCGAGGGACATCATTTAGGTGGGGCTTCATGTCCACCAACAACTTTTGCGATGGTTCCCTTTTGTTTTGAAATTCATACCCATATCACACCTGGAATAGTGAATAGGAAGACTCCAATGCTTTGGGTCTGTGTTGTTCGCTATCCTTTTCAGGTTGATTCATTAATTAAAGGGAAACCACCAGGGGA